TCTCTCCAGGTTTTCTCTCTGTAGCCCAGGCTTTATCAAACTTTGTAGACCAGACTGGCCTTAAAGTCAGAGTTCCATCTGTACATCTGCCTTCTCATCCCAAATGCTGGGATTGAAGGCATGTGCTACAGAAACCCATAAAATTCTTGAAACGTTTTAATTTCCATATTTCTTCTTAATGATAATCACCATTCAGTACTGTGCTCTTTAGTGTCCTTAAGTCTGTGTACTGTCTATAGGTTTTTTGGTTTTTTTTTGGTTTGTTTGTTTTTTTGCTACTGATATATTGCTTAATTTCTTAGATAGTCAGATAGAATGCAGGATGGTATTTAAATTGTCCTGTGTCTGTTGAGACTTGATTTGTGTTCTAATGGGTGATACATTTTTGAGAAAGCTCCGTGGTCTGCTGAGAAGAATAAGCATATGTGTATTCTTTAGTGTGTGGGTAGAATGTTCTATAGATGTCTGTTAGGTCCACTTGATTTCTTTTTTCTTCTCCTTTTTGTCTGCCTGCCTGACTTTGTCTGTCTGTTTGTTTGAAAAAAGGTCTCTCTATTAATCTCTGGCTATCCTGGAACTCACTATGTATATCACAAGCTTTCTTCAAAATCACAGAGATCTGCCTTCCTCTGTGTGGGATTAAAGGCATGCATCACTAGGCCTAAATCCATTTGATTTCTGACATCATTTAACTGCCATGTTTCTCTGCTCAGATCTGGTCCACAATGCCTACCTATTGGTGTGAGCTGGGTATTGAAGTCACACCTTATCAGTGTTAGTCAATCTATGAATTCACATTTAATAGCATTTTTTAAAATGGGTGGTTCTGTGATTAGCGTCTATATGTGTAAGATTGCAGTATCCTCCTGGTAAGTATACAGTATCACTCCTTATCTCTCTTGACAGTTTTATGTTAAAGTCTACTTTATTAGAGATTAGAATATCTAACCTGCTTGTGTCCTAGATTCATTTGCTTTTGCACCCTTACCCTGAGGTCACATCTATCATTGATAATATGCTGTGTTTCCTGGAGGCAGCAAAAAGATGGATTCTATTTTCGGATCCAATCTGCTAGTCTATCTTTATTGGGGACTTAATGTTCAGAGTTATTATTGACAGATATATGCTAATTCCTGTCATTGCTTTTTGTTTTGTTTTGCTTGTTTTTGATTTTGTATTTTGAGACAAGGTTTCACCATGTAGTTCTGGCTGTCCTAAAATCCACTGTGTAGACCAGGCTGGCCCCCAACTCACAGGGATCCTGCACCACCACTCCTGGCTTTGTCATTTACTCTGTGGTATTCTTTGACCTCTTCTGATAGACTGTTGTAGTGCTGCCTATTTTATTCCCTGTGACTTCTTAGCTATGTTTGTCCTTCTCCTCAGAGCCCTGTATTTCTTCCAGGGTCCACTGTAAAGCTGAATTAGCAGTCATAAATTCTCTAGATCTGATTTTATCATGGAAGTTTTTATTTCTATATCAATTGTAATAGGTAGCTTTGCTGGATATAATAGTCTGGGTCAACAGTTATGATCTTTCAGAACTTGGAATGCATCTTTCCAGGCCCTTCTGGCTTTAAAAGTTTCCTTGTGTGCATGCTTTTAATCAAAGCACTTGGGAGGCAGAGTTGTGTGGTTCTCTATGAGCTGAAAGCCAGCCTCATCTACATAGTGAGTTCCAGGATGGCCAGGGCTATGTAAAGAGACTCTGGCTCAAAACAAAACAAAATTTCCATTGTTTCTATTCTACCACAGTTTGTTTAAATAAACTGACCAGTGTAGAAATTGAAGCCCCAATAAGAGTAAGCTGTCACTCACAGGCAGGAAGAATTCTAATTCACCGATGACTTGTATCCTAAGGTATAACAGTGTATTTCTGAACACAGATTTTGGCAGCATAAGAATAGTATAGCTCCACGCCTTTGAGAGTCCATGGCTTAAATCCTTTCTTGGACCAAAGAGTGTCTCCTCCCTTCACTTGTTCATCATACATATGCAAATACATGTCAGTGCCTTTGTATAAAGACCTGGATCTATATGTATTTTGTGTTTTCTTGTGTATTATATGTATGTGTGTATGTACTCATATGTATAGCCTATATGGACAGGTATGTTTATTTGTATGTATTATACATGTAGGAGTATGTTTACTCATATCACACATGCATGTGTATTCATGTGTATCACACATAGAATGAGGTATTGTGCTATGATAACATATCTGTGCTTATGGATATATGTTTTGTGAAGACCAAATATTACTCTGATTACTAAAACGCTGAGGAGGATCACTGAAGTCCACTGTAGAACTATTCTAGCTGGTTCCCCTGTACCATTGTACAAAACCTTCTCTAAGTACTGCATGAATACCAATCTCAAGATACCCATTCATTGAAAGTACCCATACTGGCCTGGCCTCCCCACAGCAGGCTGCAGACTTGTGTTCTGGCTCAGTCTAATGGGATCCTCTCTCTTGTTCCCCCAGCGTTCTTCTGGAGGATGGGAAGGCCACAGTGCCCCTTCTGGCAGAGAGACTGACCACAGAGCTCATCTCACACATCTGTGTAAGCCTGGGTGGCTGTGTCTTCATAAAGCTGAACCTGGACTGGGACAATCCTGGGCACATGAACTGGTCAAGATCTCTTTGCTCAGACATGTGGTATTTGGGAAATTGTAACTCTAGCATCAGAAGGATTTTGCTGGTTCTTGCTGCTGTCACCTTTGATTTTGAGGCATGGCTGTGAGCTCCTCATTCTGGAGCTGATCTCAAAAGCTAGAGTTCAAACAGGTTCTTCAGATAGAAGCTATGTTCACTTTTCTCTGACCTGGTGTCTCAAATCACCTTAGTTCTCTACTTGGGGTATTGATACTACTCACTATTGTGGATTTAATGTGTAGATTTGCTTGAGGACTGGCTGTGCAAAGACTCAGCAGTGTTCTTCCCCTGGACTGCTCCTGTGTTCAAGGTATTCCTGCAGCTCCAGGATATAGGTGCAGATCAGGGCATCGGCAGGGCACCATGATCTTGTGTGACCCTCAATGGGCCATCTTGATGCTGACAGATCAGGCCTATTCTTGCTGAGTTCAGTGTCTTGAGATGACTGGGGACAGCAAAGTTATAGGAACCTTCCTTTGAAACAACAGTACCTGGCAGCATTTGACCTGTTGAGAACAAAACAAATGTTTAGGAGTCTTGTATTGTTATAACAACCCCTGTTTCAGAAGCTATTAGAAGGTGCTTTGTGACATTTCCCTGAAGAGAGTTCATGTCCCTGATACAGAAGGACATATATCTGGCTGGCTCTTTTAGGAGGCAACCATGATCAGTGGACAGGGTTGCATTCTAGATGCAGGCATGGGCAACCGTGTATAAAAGGATGCTTCTCAAGTGCTGCTCTGCACCAGGGAAATGATATCAGGACTTCAGAATGCTTCCCACGTGTCATGGTGACTCAGTAGAGTAGGCTTGGGGCCTTGTTTGCATTCCCAGTCTATATTTCTATGTTCCATTCACCTCTTTCCATTTCAGAAATCCCTGCCTTTGTTAGAAAATCAAATAAAGAAGTGCCACCAGACTGCAAGTGAGGAGCTGCAGAAGTATGGTGCAGACATACCAGAGGATGACAATGAGAAAACTTTCTTTCTGATTGAAGTGAGCATTGTCCATAGTTATGGGCATGATGACTGCATCACTGTCTACACAGGAATCTCTTTCTGGTGCTCTTCAGATCTCATGCTTCCAAGGCTGATGGAGATGCATCCTGTGCAATTAGTGTTAAAAAGGAGTCAGGACAGAGATTATGGTTGAGTGCAGGGTGGAGCTTGTAGGGGGCATTTTCATTTCACTCACACTGACAGAAGAGTTCTTGCTAAGAATCCCAAAGGAAGAAGAAGAAGGGAGGTATTTCCTGTTCCAAAAATCCCTCCCTTAATACTGTTCTGCTGAGCCCAGGATGAGAAGGTGTCTCATCCACTTTCCTTTTTACCACCTTGACCCCATACTTGAAAGATCTCTGCTGATACTGATGTTTTCCTTCTTGACAGAAAATCAACACTTTTAACCAGGACATCACTGCCATAGTACAGGGGGAGGAAAATGTGGAGGAGGGAGAATGTCGCCTGTTCAACAGGATCCGAAACGAGTTCTTATTGTGGAGTAAGGAAATTGAAAAAAATTTCCAAAATGGTAAGCATCTTGTCCAATCTGGGTTGCCATCCTTAACAATCATACACTCCATTGTTAAAGACAATAGGAGACCATCACTTACACTTCATGGTGCTAAGATGTCTGAGGACAAGGCACCAGAAAATGAGGTGACTAGTGAGGTCTCCATCTCTGCTCCCAAGATGACACCATCTATCCTGTTCCTCATGTGTTAAGGATGAGAGACAAACACAGGATGCCCACTTCCACTCCTGGGGGAGTTGAAAGATGTCTATTTCCACTACTATACAAATCCTCTTACAATGAACCTGGTGTCTTCTCCCCATGTCTTCACAAGTCCTTTACTCTGGATATTTATGTGTCCTTGTCAGCCCCTGTAAGGACACAAGATACAGTGGATTAGAGACCACCCTAAGAGACTCCTTTCTACTTAGTAATCTTATAAAAACCTCATCTGTAAATAGTCCCCTCCTGAAGTTCTGGGTGATTAGGACCACAACACAAGCATTATCAGGGAAGCAATTCAGCTCTTAGCATCTCTCAGTGCAGTATTTTAACCCAAGAAAGGAACAGAAGGAGTGCAGATACAAGGTACAAGGCTGGTGAGCCTTGATGACAGGATACTGAGTGAAAGCCAGCAGGACAGTCACAGTGGCCTGTGGTATGTGATTCTATTTCAGAAACACCCAGAGTGCATACATAGTGTGGACCGAAGCAGAGCAGAGGCTGCAAGGTTGGAGAGAGGGCAGAAAGGGAGGCACTGACTGCTGGTGAGAGCAGCAGATCCTGGAGGTGACAGAAACTTCACAGAATCAAGGATTAAACTGTGGAGCTTGGCCCAAAACTCAGAATATATTTATAGTCTTGTTTAATGAGCTAAGTTATCTTTTAATAAAAATGTTCTTTGGAGGGCTGGAGTGATGGCTTAGTGGTTAGGAGCACTGACTATTCTCCCAGAGGATCTAGGTTTGATCCACAGCACCCACATGGTGAGTCAAAACCATCTGTAACTCCAATCCCATGGCATCTGATAGTCTCTCTGGGACCTGGAGGCATGGTATGCACATTGTGCACAGACAAAAATGCAGCAAAACCATACACACAAAATGATAAAATAAAAGAGTTTAAATGGCCCGCTTATCACAGGGGAAGCTGGGGCCATCTGAGTCTGCTGCCCACTTCCAGTAGTGGGGAGAGGGACTAAGTGTTTTGTGTCATGAACAGGGAGGTCAGTTCACACTGGGGCCATCCAGGTGCTCACTAGCCCTGTCCTTTCCTGCTGAGGGACACCCTCCTCCCACTCAGCTCCTGATGCCATCTAGAGGCCACAGGGCCTGTGAGTCATGTGCTCTGTCTCTTCTTCTTTAGTTAAATCCAGCTGGATTCAAAAACCCACACACTCAAGGTCTTTTTGAGCCCATGTCTTCCCCTGGTTTCCACCTGTTGGATTCTGCCGTGGTCTCTGGTCTGAGCTTGCCTTTGCCTCAACTGAGGGAAGTGGCCCTGAGATTTCATTCTTCTCTGTAACCCTAAATATTTTCCAATTTGCAGATATTTGTTTGCCTTGTTTTACCTCAGTAAATTCAGTAAGATCAGAATGGATTTGCTTAGGAAAATGTGCAAGATGGTTTTTTTAAAAATATCTAATGGTCACCTCCTACTTTAGGTTATGATTCATTATATAATGAAGTCTGGAAATTTGAAAAGCATTATCGAGGCCGAGAGCTGCCAGGGTTTGTGAACTACAAAACCTTTGAGACCATCATAAGAAACCAAATCAAAGTCCTGGAAGAGCCAGCTGTAGACATGCTGCACAGGGTCACAGGTGAGTACTGTACAGTGTCACACGTTAGTGCTGTACAGGGTCACAGGTGAGTGCTGTACAGGGTCACAGGTGAGTG